AAAGGGGTCTTAGACAAGGTGATCCATTATCTCCATTTCTTTTTTAATGTTTTGTAGTTGAAGGTCTGAATATTCTTTTGGGTAGAGCTCTACACTGACATGATTTATGGTTGGCTCAAAATATCTTGTGATCACCCATTTTCAATTTGCAGATGATATCAATATTATGTTGAGGTAGAATGGAAGGAGATTGGAAGTTAAAGAGGATTCTGAGATATTTTGAAATGCTTTCAGGATTGAAAATTAATTACCATAAGAACGTGTGTGTGTGGGATGGTCATTAGTGAGGACCTCACTAAAGGATTCCTGACAAATGAACTGCTTACATCAAAAATCTGCTTTTAAATACGTAGGGATGCCATTAGGGGAGTTGTCCAAGGAGAAGAAGGTTCTGGCAACCTGTGATAGAAAAGTGCCAAAAAAAAGCTAGTTTTTTTGGAAGAGGAAGATTTCTAATCCTTTGCAGGTAGATTAACACTGATAAAGTCAGTGATGTCTAGTTTACCAATCTACTACTTATCTTTGTTTTAGTATGCCAGAAGGGGTTGCAAAAGAAATTGACAGAGTTCAGTCTAGATTCTTATGGGGAGGTGATGAACTTAGAAAAAAAGATTCATTTGGTAAAGTGGGGGAGATTTCAAAAAGTAAAAGTCAAGGGGGCTTAGGAGTTAAAAGAATCAGGCTTATGAATGATTGCCTTCTCCTAAAATGGTGGTGAGGTTTTGGGGCTGAAGATAAAACCCTATGGAAGCAAGTGATATGCAGCAAGTATAATGAGGTGGGAGGGATGATGGCTTGAACCTATGGAGCATCTCAAGTGCTCTTTGATCTGGAAAGATATATGGGGCTTCCTTCGGGTAAGCCTGATCTGTGAACGTTTTTTAAAAATAACGTAGCTCTTGTTATTGGAGATGAAAGAGAACACTTTTCTGAAAGGATAAATTGGTTGGAAATGTTTGTTTGAAAGATGTATTTCCTAGATTATATTCTGTAACAGTGGGAAATGATGAATCTGTGGACTTGGGTATAGTAGAAGAACTGGTACTGAGGAGTGGAATCTGAATTTCAGAAGGTCTCTGTTTCAGTAGGAGGTGGAGGAGTTGAGGAGAATGACTACAATGTTACTTACTGCTCTGGCCCTCAGGGAAGGTAGGAGGGATATATTGAGATGGATTGCAGATACCTCAGGGTCTTTCTCGGTTGCATCAGCTTATAGATGGAGTCAATTGGGTCATGGAGCTAATAGCAAGACTGCTGAGTTCATTTGGAAGAATGTATCTCCTCCCAATGTTCAGTTTTTTGGTTGGTTAACATGGAAAGGAGAGGTCAACTCTTCTAGTTATCTGCAAAAACTTGGTGTGTTTAAATGCTGGATCAACTATGAATTGTATTTTTTTGTAATGATGAGGTAGAAAGTGGTAACCATGGTGCTGTGCTTTGTCCTTTTACGTGGAGGATTTGGTCTAATATATCAAATGGTGGGGATTCAATGGGCAACACCTGGGTCTATGAGCAGGCCTACTCAATTGGTGGCCTGGTTGGAAATTGTCAAAGCAGCTGAAGTTAATCTGAAATGTTGTTCCTCTGGCTGTGCTCTAGTCCATATGGAAGCAGAGGAATGACTGTCTTTTCAATAGTGCTTAGGCTGATGTTGAAAGTTTGTGTGATTCCATCAAGGTGAGGATTGCATTGTGGATCAAATCCTCTTGCCAGCTGTGGTATACTTTAGGCAATGAGATTGTTCATCATCTTCAACAGGTTGTAGTCTGCCTTGGCTGAGGTTACTGTCTAGCTAAATCAGGTGTGGGCTGCGAGGGTGGACCTTGAAGAGTGGTGTGTGTGTTTTCTAGTTTAGGCTGGTATTGTGGTACTGATCTTTCTTGTCTTTCCTCGAACTGTTTTCTGTATTTGTTTGTGTCCAACCTACAGCTAGTGCATATAGGCCTGATTTGGTTTGCAGCTTGCAGTAGTGTAGGTTATGGTAAGCAGTGGGTTGGCTGTTAGACTACTGGGTGGTTTTATTTTTTATCCTCCTTGGTGTTGTGTTGGTGTCTCACCAACCTTTGGGGGTTATGCTAGCAGATGATTGAGCGCTCTCCTTAGTGTCAACCTAGTTGAATTGGGTAGTGTTGCTTTGATGCTCTTTGCACCTCCACCCTTTATTAATGTATTCTCATATGAAATGTATATTTCTTCATTAATAAAGTTTCTTTTTACTGATAAAAAAAAAAAAAAGATTATACAAAAATTGAGAATCAATGCTTTTCTTTTTAGATACAAGAGCAATTTAATACTTATAATTAGATTGGAGGATGCCTTTTAACTACCCTTATGAGAGTTTTTTTGGGATAAAGCATTCATCCATATTCCATATTTTCGTACTATATATATATATATATATATATATATTTGTGCTCTAGTCTAGGTATATACAAATGATTCGAACCATCTATTTCGTAAATCTCATAATAAAAGTTATTTATGTAAAAAAATCAATTTATTAGGCAACTAAATATGTTACAAATCGTATTTTATTTTATAAAATGTATGATTTGAGTTTACAATCATATTTGTCATTTCATTATAAAACAAAATGTGATTTTGTTTATGTGTTTATAGATATCTGATGAAATTGATATTTTGCATAGTTGACTTTTATTGTAAGATTTATAGGTTAGACGATTTGGATTATCATGATTGGAATTCGAATTAAAATCCAAAAGAGGAATAAGTACGAAGAGATGAAGAAATGGAGAAGAACTCATCCCAAGCTTTTTTTTTTTTTTTTTTTTACCTCACGTAGTCAAATGGTATGAAATTTATCAAACAATAATAAATACATACGTAGGCATTTGGAACCTTCATCAACTTGGGGCTCAAGCCAATGGCATACACTTGGGCCGCTCCTGAACTTAACTTTACCACAAAGTAGCAAAATACACATCACAAACATTCTAACCATAGAAAATCACAATTCACTTATGATATGCATCTTTTAGGAGTGCAGTTCGTAAATTTCTCCTATAAAAGAAGTCATCGCAATCCTTTGACAAGCCATTAACCGAACAATCTCAAAAATAAAAAGTTTCAAACAAATACAAAAGAAAAAGATGCATTATTAAATAATAGAAAAGATGCTTATAAACCATACAAGGTGCAATTCTCAAACTGTGTTTAAAGCTTAGATTCTGTGATGCAATAGTAAATAAAATAAAAATTAAATTTTCTTAACTTTTTCATTTTGAGTTCTTTTCGCTTCATAGACCTAAAATTTAAAAACTAAAGTATTGATTTATTTAGGTTTAAGACCATAAACTTCTTCCATAGGGGCAATTTGCTTGGAGTGGATATGTCACACATAATGTTACAGGCATTGCCAGCTGCTACGAGTGCAACCTCAATTACTCTGAGAGCACTCTTCCATGGTTTCTGAAAAGATAAACATAAAGTTTTAGCCATCCCAATTAAAATTTAAGTTACGTGCTAAATTAAGTGTTTGGATGTGAAATAATAATAATAAAAAATAGGGTAAATTACTTGGTCTTTTTAGTTTTAGTTAAATTTAATTTGCTCAACATAATTTTAGTTTGATCAATTTAAATCTTATACTTTTAATTTTTATAACAAATGACAAAAAACAAAAGCCACTAATATTTATAAAGAAAAATACTTCAGGCCTCGAGAGCTTCAGGCGCGAATGGTGTAAATTTGTGTTCACCGGACGACTGGCTAGACGACCAGCCGGACAATCACCCATACAACCGGGTGAACACTGTTCTACTCGGTTGTCAACTTGTTGACTGTAACTGTCAGCCTCTTTGTCGAATGACCGACCGAACGATCGATAAAACAAAATTCAAGTCATTCGAAAATAAGATTAAATTCAGTGCTTAACATTGTCGTATTTATAAACATTGTAATCCAACAAAATTCTGTCACTTTCTTGACAAGACTGACTCTCTTTGTAAATTGTTTAAAATGTTCAACAAAACCCAACCCCCCTATTATTTTGTTTTTAGTGATATATATATATAATATATATATATAGTTTACGTTTCGTGAACTCTTCAAAAGAAATAAAAATATTTATATTGAATGAGGTATATGTTTAATATTTTATTTTAGACACTTTTTATATATTTATATTTAACAATATTATTATATATATATATATTTTGTATAATTATTATAATATGAATAAAATATTTTTTGGTCTTATTTTATATATAATATAATTTTATCTTAATAAATAAAATGTATAAAAATAAATCTTTTTTCGCCGAGTTCCCATACATTTAAATTTAGAATAAATATATCGGTAGTCTCTACGTTTTGCCCCTCGTATTATTGGTCCTTACACTTTCAATTAACTCAATTTTGATATTTAATTTTAGATTTAGTGTCAATTTGATATAATTGATAACACTGTTAATGTTTTTAACAGAAAATGGTTGCGGAAGTTGAGCAAGTTTATATTTTTTCCATAAGAGCATGACATTTGCCACTTATGTGTGTATTTTCCATTAAAAATGTTAACAATTATAATCAATTGAACTAAATTGAGATAAAATCAAAAATTCAAGTTAAAATTGGGCCAATTGAAATTACAGGAACCAAAAATGACATAAGGGTCAAAATATAGAGACTACTAGTTTAATTTGCCTTTAAATTTAATATTTTAATAAATCCGGCCTCTTGATTTGCACCTAATCTAACACTTATACCCAAGTCTATATAATGTAACTTATAGTCTAGATGGATCTAAAAGTAAAAATAAATAATGAATAAAGTTCAGTAAAAATTAAAAAAAAAAAATCAAATGTCACCTAAAATTTTCAATGACAAAAAACAATTTTTTTCTTTTTTTAGTATTTGCCAAAAGAGATCAACTTTTCAACAATAATCTTGCCTCGAAAAAAAACTATTAAAAAAATATTTGTTAAATCTGCCCCATCAAATTTTAGAAAAATACTGGATTGATGAGGAAAATGATTAATGAAGAAATACTTGATTGTTATAAAAAAGAAAGGATGGAGTTACTGGTTTGTAGTTATATGGAACCATTACATTGATGATGTGGATGCAGATGTTGGAAGTTCAACGATTCTAACACCTGAAGAGCTTGGCTGCAACAAAAGTAACAGTCACTTTGAATATCAGGGCCGCTTTCTTTTCTTTTTTTTTTGTTTTTGTTTTTTTTAATAATATTAGGCTAACCATTATTTTAATGAGTGTATAGATCATGTTTTTTTTCAAAGATTTAATTGAATTCAAAATCTGATAATTGTAAATTATAATTATTTTTAAAAATTGAAACATAATAAGAGGTTTCATGTTTTCCCGAAAGTTCGTGAAACTGAATTAGTTACTTGTGGGACAAATTTGGTAAGAAAAATAGTATGACTGGAGGTCATACTAACTCCAATGCTCACATAGAATGTTTTTTTTATCAATAAAGTTTTCTTTTTTTATAGGCTAATCAAAAAAAAAAAAAAAATGCTCACATTAAATAATAGAATATATATATTGTGATGTGTTATATGCATTTAGTTAAAAAGTGTTCATGGATCAATTGATTGGTAACACTATGAAATATCCAAACCAATCATGATCGGTGTTAATGTACACTAAACCTAACCCACTAACCTAACCCACTACATCCACTCCACTAAACCTAACACACTTACCATCTCCACTACCACCCACCACCTCCACTACCATCCACTACCACACTCACCTACCTCACACCTCTCCTATATAATAGCTTGTAATATACAAAATCAATATACAACAATCTTGTAATACATCAATCAATAATAATAAGATACATTATCCTCTGTATTTCTCTCTTTACACATTAGATTTAAACAATTACATTATTCTCTGTATTTCTCTCTTTACACATTAGATTTAAACATGTGTATCAGAGCTAGGTTAACAACCTAGTAATTCTGCTTCACCGGCGGGCGGCAGTCTCGCCTTGGCCGCCCGCTGGACCTCTACACATACCCATTTCAACAAGTCAAAGAAGAAGGTCGACAACGGCTGACAGGAGACCGGAGCCGTTTCAAGGGAACCAAACACTCCTCCTCATCTTCACTTTCTCTCCCCCCAACCAAACCCATCAGAGACCGAAAGACTAAGCTCACAGGCCCTTACCATCCATCCTCGCCACTTATCAACTTTTCTCTCTCTCTCTTCCACAGGTGCCACCTCTCGCCATCGTCTCACGCACCCTCGTTGCAAGCAACAGGACAACCACCACGGCGCCTCTCCTCCCCATCACGGTCGACAACAGCCGCCAGCGCTACAAACCATAACCTCAGCCTCTATCAGATCGGCACGTGTCACTTCCCAACCACCACGCCGCCACTCGCGGCAGCCACCGCCGTCGACCTCGGCCCGACGCCGCCTTGTAACGCGCCCCTATGCCCCGACCAGCCACCACGCTGTTCACCCCGTCGTCCGTGTCTCTACTCGCGACGGTCACTGGACTTGGACCTCGAACAATGCCCGATGGATCCTTCTTCTCCATACTCTTGATCTGAACTACAAACACACAGATACAACACATGCATCATTCCATGCATACACACAACAGCCGTTGACCTGGCAACCTGATAGAACAACCACAGCATCTTCTCTGGCTCTCGCCCAATCACGACCTCTCTCTCTCTAAAAAGAGGAGACCCAAACACCACTCAAGAAAATCAACTTCTCTCTGTGGACCTCTCGCATCAACCTTCCTCTTCTCTCTCTCTAGACCCATGCACACAACACACCCAGCACAAACACACATAGACACACGGGTTAGAGGGGGAGAAGACACACACCCTCACACGGCACTCTCTCTCTCTTTAGCCGAGACCAAAATCTTTCTCTTTCCATGGCCCCATTATCATAATCGGCACTGATGCTTCACTCAACATAATTTTATTTTAATATATATCTATGTATATGTTTGACAGAGGCTACACCACTGGAGGATTCCTTTCTTGGCAAATATATAATATCGCCTCACCCTTTTTCTGATGAAAACCCTTTTTTTTTACTCACCCCACTCTCTCTCTCTCTTCCTTTCCCACTCCTAACCCATGTGCCCAACTTCTTAATATATTCTCCACCCACTTCTTAATATTTTATTTCGGTCATTCCTTCACTCACAGGAAACATCCACACCCAGCATTACATGATTATTTCGGTCATTCAAGCCATGCCTCCACTTGTTGCTGTCTGGCTTATCTGCAATACAGAAGATCCAATGACCACAAATATGCAGAACCCAAGCACAATAGGACCCACTGGGTCAGCACTTCCTTATCCGATTCACACACCATCCCTGGTTTTTTCAAATCATTAAAAAAAAAAAAAAAAAAAAAAAAAACCACACATTTCATTTCCTTCATGACAGGGCTCAACTCCGGTCACATTTTTACACCAAACCACAAAAAAAAAAAAAAAAAACAAACAAACAAACAAACAATTTACAACTTTGCACAACACCATATTTGATTCATCTCCGGAATCACCCCCGACATAATTTTACACACAAAAAAAAAAAAAAAAAAAAACAACAACAACAACAACACCAACAACAGCCTTGTTTTCTTTTCTGCACCGGCCACCAACCGACCTCACTTCTTCGCCTATTCCGCTGGTCTCTTCTTTTTGCCTCCGTCCTGGGCGGCCCTTGACAGTGTTGCCTCCGTGTTTCCCACTCCACTGGGCATGATCACTACTCCCTGCTCCTCCACGCAGCATATGGCGGCCCTCCAAATCGGAACATCACGGTGGCCTTCCGCTTCAGCTCCTTGTTTTCTGCCCTAGCACGCTTATCTCTGCTCGCGCATCCTTATACATGCGTTGGAGCAAAGCCAGCTGGGAGTTTAACTGCTGCACCTCATTTGTCCTACTCTGCAGTCGGTGCGACAGGTTTGTGACCGCCGTCATGGACTCCACACATGCCTTCAAAGAGATACTGATTAGCCTCCACATCCGTTTGCACTGCCATTTTTTGCTCCACCGACTGCATCGGAAAGTTCAACGGAGCAAACCCAGTGGTGTTTGGTTGCGGTTCATGGGCCATCGCACCAGTTCTCTCTCCTGTGGACTCATTCAGGTCGGAAAGAGAGTGAGCAGCCCACGGGACGACGAAGCCATTTTCTGGGCAACAGAGTGTTACAGAATATCTCTCGCAACAGAGTGTTACAGACTATCTCTTCTCAGCAAAACGACCTCTCTTTCTCAGCAAAACGAAGAATTTTTCAGAGGTTTCTCTCAGTTTTTCTGTCTCAGTTTTTGCCTCCTCCGCTTCGGTTTATACAGACCATGACACAGAGGCAGCCACGCGCATCGCGCGCCTTTTGACGCCGACAAACTGGCACGCCTTTTCATGGCACATTTTTGATAAAGTGGGCACGCTTTTGGGCACGACTTTTGAGGGCTCGATATATATCTACATGT